CCTTGGAGGTGATGCCAAAAAAATTTGACAGCAGTTAAGTAGCTGTTGCGCCTGTGGTACTGATTTATACAGTCTCTTTGTTTCTTTGTGCTCCTCAAGTCAGTTAGCCTTTTGTACCTCTCCTATGAGCTTACTGAGGCAGGAAATATTTTATTTTCATATATTTTTATGTAGCATCTAAGACAGAGGGCTCTGGTCCATTACTCTGGCTTCTATAGTGGAAGTAAATTATAATATTTTACATGTACTTACATTTATTTTTAGTCTGAAAGACAACAGTGTGGATTACCTGTAGACTGGAATATAGAGCAGAAAAAAATCAGAATAAGTTTATTCAGACTTTCAGCCTTTCTTTTTTTTTTCAGAATCTCTGTGGCAAGCAAGGCAAAAAGATATACTGGGCAAGAATACATTGGGTTACTGCTTGTGTAAGGGTTCTGACTCCTACCAGACATAATTTCTACGGAGGAAGGTTTTCTACCAGGGGTTTCACTTGCATGGAGAACATGAAACATGATTTTGGCAGTGTAAGCTTGCACCTGCTCTGAAGCTATTTGTGTGGCGAAGTAGAGTTAAGCCATGCCCTCTGTGCCAATGAAATGAACCTCCCTCTTGGGAACAGGATGTGGTCAATTCAACACAGCATATGGGACAACTCTAGCTCTTTTTCCTTCAGTTTCTGTAGGCAGGCAGGGAGTGGAGGGATTCAGTGGGTTTAAGAACAAGACAGACCCTATAGTCTCAAAAATTACTTATGTTACAATTTCTTTTCTGTCTTCTCTTCCTTTTTTTTTTCCATAGAGTTAAATGTAAGAGAGCTTGATGTAAGACTGTGTGATGAATCATCATGTAAATACGGAGGAGTGTGTGAAGAAGAGGGCGATGGCTTGAAATGTGCATGTCAGTTTCAGGTAAGGATTTTTCTTCTTTTCTGGCTGCTTTTCCTGCCTGCTTTTTCTGGTGTATTGAAGTATTACTAGAAAGGCCATTTCAAAGATTTCCCTCATCAAAATGCATATATAATCCAGCCATATTCTTCAGCTTTTAATTATCCCAATAAATGTATTGGGATGCTATGTGACTGAGCTTCGCATGGTTGTGCTGAGGGAGCAATTGGTGAGTATGACTTCACATCAGTTCCCTGTTTTTGTTAAGTCAGTCAGCCTCACAGTCTGATGTGCAGAGTAAAGGAAATATGCCATTTGCCTGGCACCTAGGGTCCTTTCCATTAGGATAGGTGGAGATGGGGAGCACCAGGTGATACCTGCTCTCTCTGCCTTCCCCCTTCATCTCATCCTGCCCCTGAGACCTGAGATGAGAAGAAAGGTGTCCTAGATGAAGTTTTATAGTTTAAATCTGGTACTTCTTACAGAACACTTGCACTAATATTAGTAATTGGAAGAGTCTTCTCTACTCTGTTGGTGGCCAAACATGGCACTTTTTACCATGGAAAAATCTTAGGTCATTGTGATTATTTTTCTTGTCATATTTCTTACCTAGATAGTTAGATTGGCATGGCTCTGTGCACCACAGAATCTCTTAGTCAAATCATAGTGGCGAGGTGTGTGTTTTGTTAGACTCTCCAAATTCCATATCCTCCTTGTGATACACACAGACCATGATACTTCCTATGTGCTGAAAATAATAATAACAACAACTACATTTAAATTGAACCCAAAGAGGAAGAAAGTATAAAAGTACAAAAGCATACTCTAGCACTGTGTGTTGGGCAAGTGAAAATCAGGTAATACCAGAATGACCAGTGATCATAAAGTTTCTTGATCGAAAATGGTGAATTAGCCCCACTCATAAAAAATAGTGAGATTTGATTTTAAAAAAATCCTCCAAACTCTTAAAAAGTAGTAAGCATCAAGTTCTCATAACTTGCCTTACTGATTTTTGAGCTTTTCATATATGTAGTTCATACTTTTTTTTTTATAACTAACACGACAAGCCCCCACTTTTTAGACAAAAGAGAATAGTGAGATTCTCTCTCTTCATTATTTATACCCAGGATAAAAATATCAAATATTTTGAGACTCCTGGTAAAACTGCAAGAGTTGACAGCGTTATTAATCAATGCTAGGGTTGGCTGTCCTTCAGAGTTTTAAAAATAATCTTATATTCTGTTTACAATAAATTATAAATCAAGAAGAACCAGAATAGCAACCAGAACCAGAATAGCATGTAATCTTACACTGGTTTTAGATTCTAGGGTTTCAGAGCTGGCTTTTGATGTAGTGAAGTTTAGGTGGGTGCCTATGGTAAAGGCATTCTTTAACTTACATTCCAGAAGAACAATGGGATCTGATTGCCTCTTAAAATTAGAACAAATTCTTAGGAGAAGACTATTATTCATCAGCCTTCACTCTAGCTATAACTTTTATTTTTGAAGAATAATAAAATCAAAACCCAGTAAAGACAAAAAATATTAAAAAAACCAATTCTAAGTTGGTTAAGCAAAAGTTTTTTTTTTTTAATATATAGATGGTAAATTTGATGGCTTCCTAATATTGAGGTCATGAGGAGTAAAACAGGGGCTGGCTACCCATATAATAAACTTATACTTTTTCTTGAGAATAATATAGGTTTCAAAAATGGAATTTTTAAGTTAATTAATAAGCTTAATCAATAGGCTTCCTTGTATTTCCTGAAAACTTATCCTGTATTCTAAGTAAACAAGTCTAAGCATGAGGAGAGTATATTATATTTTTCAGACATAGCAGACTGAATTCCTCCTAGAGCTCTCCACCTTAATTATAAAGCTGAAACTAGCACCTCCAAAATATCCCCCCCCCAAAAGTTCCCAGAATATTTTTGCACACACTAAACCTATAACAGGCACATAGTCTTTCTTTCTTAGAATGTAAAAAATAGTAAAATACAGGCTGTCCCTGACTAAATCAGTCCAAATGATAAATGTTCTCTTTTTCCTTTTTTTTTTTTAATATACCAATCCTAATGACTTTGAGATCAATATATTAGTAGTACAAAAGTATTCTTATAGTCATTGACTGAGTAGAATAGACTCATGATACTCATGAATTTAATGGGGATGGTGATTATTTTCCATCTCCCTGAAAGACTATTCTATGACCAAAAAGATCAAGCATCACTTCCTCCAGGCTCAAGACGAGTGCATCAATATGAGTAAGAATTCGAGCAAAGCGGGCAGCAGACCTGCATGGCTGAGCAAGGAACTCCTGGCAAAACTCCAGCAGAAGAAGGAAGTGTACAGAATGTGGTAAAGGGGACAGGCCACTTGGGAGGAATACAGGGACGTTGTCAGAGCGTGCAGGGATGCGACAAGGAAGGCCAAGGCCCATTTGGAATTAAATCTGGCAAGGGATGTCAAGGACAACAAGAAGGCCTTCTTCAAATACATCAATAGCAAAAGGAAGACT